CTCTCCTGGCACAGCTGAGGTTTCCTCCTGCCCTGTGGATGCTCCGAGCTGGGGTTCATTAAACCTGGGACTGGTCTGGGATGGCCCCTGCCCACAGAGTTTCTCCCTGCCCAGTCCCACCCCCTCTCAAACCCAGGAGAGGAGTCAGAGGACCCCCTTGGCTGTGTTTTCTGAGTGAACCAAATCCCTGGAGCTGCAGGGAGGGCCCAGGTCTGAGTTCCTGCAGCAGAACTGGTCCCAGATGCTTTCCAGGCCCACGATCCACAGGGAGGGCATGGCAGAGCCTTGGGGCTGGCTGGTGCTCTGTGTCATTCCAAGGCCAGTGGAAAGCTGGAAAGCCAGAGAAGAGAAGCTGTGTCATCAAAGCCAGGAGTCAATATTTAGCCTGGAAGCTGCTCCCCTGCCCTCCCCAGCCCTTCCACCAGCAGCTCTCACAGCCAGATCATGTTTCCCCCCTCCCAGAGACACTTTTATCAGTCTCAGGGCAAGGGAAAAGCTGGGATTTGGGGGGGTTTCAAGGGATTAGGAAAGAATTTGCCTCTGGGAATCTCTTTCCTCCATCTGCCTGGGATAAACCATGGGATGGAGGTGGAGGCTTTGCAGCTCGGTGGGGAACTGCTCTGAGCTAAACATGTGGAGGCAAAACCACTCCTGGTCCCTCCCTGCTGCGGGAAAAGGGTGTTGAAAGGTCCTGGAAAGGGTGAGGAGAGCTCTGCATCCTGTGGCTCCACATGGGATGCAGTGGAAGGATGTTTTGCCTGAGCTCCCTGTGTGCAGACAGAGCTTGGGCAGCCCCTGGGATCTTCCCTGGAAGGAGCAGCTCACCCATGGGAAGCAGGATGGGAGCACCATGGGAAGCGTGATTAGCTGGGAGAAAAAGGCATTTTTATTTGGCCTGTTGATGATTTTCTGCTTTCATTATGTCCCTGTAAAGCAAACAGACTTTAAAAACCCTGCTGCAGTGGGAATACAGCTGGGAAAGCTGCCCTGGCTGCTGGGGGGGCTGGGTGGTTTTCACCGGGGTTGTCTGAGCACTGCTGGTCCCAGAGGATTCCTCCATCCCTCCTCCATCCATCCTGCCACCTTCCAGGGCACGTTGTTTATCCCACAGCAGTGCCCAGTCCTGTCCCTGCCAGGGAGGGGCAGTCCCTGCCCTGGAAAGCTGAGGCTGTTCCTGAGCTCCTGGAGCTGGTCCTGGTCCTAAAGCAGGGCCGTGACCCAACCTCGGCAGAGCCCTGGGAGAGGCAGTGCCTGCTTTATTCCTCCTTTGGATCTTGCAGTCAAGGGCCTTTCCCACCTTTGCTGGAGGAAAAGGTCAATATTGCAGGTGTGAGACACCACAACCTCAGGGTCGGGGTTTTTTTAAACATGAAGCCTTTTTAAAACATCAGCTCCATGTCCCCAAAGCAGGATCCACCCAGAATGTCCCACCCTGGGAGCAGTCACTGCTGCACCACATCCCTGGCACAGGGGCTCCTGCCCTGGCTGTTCCTGCCTGTGCCGAGCTGGGGGCTCTAGGAACCTCCCACAGGCAGGGCCAGAGCCCAGGGGGCCTTTGCAGCTCCCCAGAGGAGATGTTTCATCTCCTGGGAATGGGTGGGATGGGACGTCCCCCTCCTCACCTGCCTGTGGCTGTGGCTCCCAGGGATGTGGCTGCAGGAACAGGGATATCAGAGGGGCTGGAGGGCAAAAACTGGTTTTCCCCAGGGTTGTGTGAGCCCTACTGGTCCCAGGGGATTTCTCCTCCTCCTCTCTCCGTCTTCCCTGTGTCTGTCAGGTTTCTGATCCGCCTCTACATCCCCAGCACCTCCATCCATCCATCCATCCATCCATCCATCCATCCATCCATCCATCCATCCATCCCACAGCTGGCTCAGAGCCCCCGGCCTGGGGGGCAAACAGGGGCTCAGAGTTCCAGAGGGTCCTTTGCAGCTCCTGGTTGAGATGCTTTGTGTCCTGGCTCCATCCTGGGAATGGGTGGGACGGGACGTCCCCCCTCCCACCGCTCCGTGGCTGTGTCAGGGCTCCCTGGGGACGTGGCTGCAGGAACAGGGACACGGCAGGGGCCGGAGGTTTTCCCCAGGGTTGTCTGAGCCCTGCTGCTCCCAAGGGATTTCTCCTCCTCTCTCTCCATCTCCCCCGTACCTGGCAGGTCTCTGACCCACCTCTGCATCCCTCCATCCCACAACCGGCTCAGAGACCCCGGGGGCGCTCCCAGAGGGACGAGCCCCATCCCGGTGCCCTTTGGAGCCTCCCCCCGCACCCCGGTGCCCGGGGGAGCTCCCCTGCCCGCGGCCGAGCCGCGCTCCCGGGGCAGCAGCGATTGGGCGCTATTTTGCTCCTTGGGCAGCTGTCGCTGTTCATTAGCGGAGCGGGGCCAGCCCGGGGCTGCCGGCGAGGAGGAGGCAGCGCTGGGCACCCCAGGTACGGCTCTGGGGGCTCTGACCCTCCCGGTGCTCCAGGGGCACTCCGGGCATCACCCACCCCGGGCCGGGGGATTTGGGACCCCCGGGGCCCGTCCCGGCGCTGCCGGGTGAGTGTGAGCGGGGACGGAGGGGTGGGCGGGGCGGCTATTTTTGGAAGTTTCTTTGATGTGAGTCAGTGGTAAAAGGCACCCCCGGGAGCTCGGGGGGCAGAAGTCCCGGCGGCAGCGGAGCAGAGCGGATTGTTTGCTGAGCGGCTGCGATTTGGGGCATTGAAGAGAGGGGCTGGTGTGAGCAGTGACCGGATGGATGGTCGGGCAGGTGTGGGGCAGGTTCCCTGTGCGGGGTCAGGGGGAGCCAAGGGCTGGAGCTGGACCTGGGGGCTGTGGGTGACCAGCCTTTCCATGGGCAAAATGTCCCTGGCATTGGTGTCCATCCCTGGCATTGGTGCCCATCCCTGGCATTTTGGTGTCCATCCCTGGCACTGGTGTCCATCCCTGCCCTGCCTGGCCTGGGCACTGACTGTTCTTGGATCCCCAGCTCTGAGCTGGTCCCGCGGGATCCAGCCCCAGGAAGGCTGTTCCTGCAGGTGCCACGGCCCATCCTGGCTGGTGATGGGTCCCTGCACGGGCTGTAGAGCCTGAACTGCCTCCAGCTCCTTCCAGCAGTTGGAGCTCCATGTCCTGTCTGGCAGGACAGCCCCGGGCATGGACCTGGGCAGCTCTGGGGAGAGTGAACACCTCTGGGGAGGAACAGCCAATGCCCCCCGGTCTGGAGGCTGTTTGGGCTCCTCCATCTGGGGGAGGCCCAAGAGGTGGAGGTGTGGGAAGAGCCTGGCACCCTGTGCCAGAGCCTGGGCTCAGCTGAGGGCTGGGCAACCCTGCAGGGTGTGGGGGGATGGCACTGGGCAGCCCTGCAGGGTGTGAGGGGATGGCACTGGGCAGCCCTGCAGGGTGTGAGGGGATGGCACTGGGCAGCCCTGCAGGGTGTGAGGGGATGGCACTGGGCAGCCCTGCAGGGTGTGGGGGGATGGCACTGGTGCTGCCCCCGCTCGAGTTCAATGAGAGTCCCCTGATGTGAGGTGGCAGCAGGTCCCTGTGTGGAGCTGGAGGAAGATTTGGGATGCCCTGAGGCCACCAACGAGCTGTTGAGTGGGCAGAGAATGCTCAGAGATGGCCAAGGAGGGGTGAGAGAAGAGGTACCTTGTCCTCACTTTGAGCTGCCAACCACGACTGTGGCTGTGCCAGCGCCGCTGCCAGGGTGTGTGAGGGTCTGCAGGAGAGGGCTCAGCCTGGCACAGGAGGCTCTTTGTGGTGGTGTGAAATCACAGGGTGACCTTGGGCATTGAGGAGCATCCCTGTGGCACCAACTCCATGGGAACACCAGCTGTGCCCAAGGAGCAGAGGAGGTTGTGCCCTCCTCAGTCTCCCTCACACTCAGCTGGGCTCTAAACCTGTTCTAAACCTGTGTGAATGGATGTGAAGCTCAAAAACATGGGAGAAGAACTCTGAGGAAAAATTCTGCATCTTTGTGCTTTCCCTGGGTCTGGGAGGACCCACTGTAGCCACCACGAGAGTCCTGGGGAAGGTCTGTCCCTTCCCAGCACAGAAAGGACCAGACTCACCATCACTCAAACAAAACCAAAGACTGACTTATTTATCTATTAATTTTATTTTAATTTATTTTATTTTATTTTATTTATTTATTTATCTTTATTTCCTCTTGAAAGCAAATATCTTTCAGACCTTTGGTCCTTGGCCAGAAGGTTTCCTCTTATTTATCTGTTTTGCTCCCAGTATCGAGTCTTAGGTGTCATCCTGAGAACTGGTATTTCTTCTCGGTGTTCCATGAGGGGAAAATAAACTAGAAGCAGCTCAAAGGGGGCAAAAAAAATATCTCCTTCTGGTGAGGGCTTGGCAGGAAGTGGCACTCAGATGCCAGCAGAGTGAGGGCTGGACTTGGAGCTGCCAGGAGGGCTGAGGGGTGATGAGGTTTGTTGGTGCCTCCTCAGCCCCGTAGCCCACACAGGGCAGAGAACCCTGAGGAGCCCAACACACTCCCCAGCCCTGCTTTGTTTCAGAGCTCTGGGGACCTTCCAGTTTTCTCTCCCACTCCACAGCTGGGAAAAGCCCCAAGAGTCATCCCAGAGCTCTGTTATCCTCTGGGGTGTCTTGAGCTCTTCTCTGAGGTCTGGTTGCTCCGCAGTACCTGGAACTTCTCCTTCTGTGAAGCCTCCAGACACGATTTCAGGGTGCCCAGGCACTCTCTGGGTTGTTCATCCCCCTGTGTGCCTTGGCAGGGGGTCACTGTCCCCTCAGCTGCAGCTCCACAGGGATGTCCAGGATTTTGGGGCTCAGAGTGCCCGACCTGCCCGGTGCTCCCGTTACACCCCGACCTCCCCAGCGCTGCCTCGACGGCCGAGGGGTTTCTGCAGCACTAACAGGGGAAACGTGGCCGTGATGTCCCCTCTCTGCAGGCCAGGGAGTGGCATCGAGGTGCCCACACCCCCCACCCCTGGCAGTTCCCACCTCCCCGAATTTGTCACCCAATGCCCCCCTTTGTGCTTGTCTTTGCCAGATGCCAACACTGGGGTGAGCAGCGACAGCGACAGGAGAGCAGGAGCCCATGTAAGTGCCCAAAATGGGGGGCGAGGGTGCCAGGGGGGACCCCCGTGCCAGGGCAGGGCAGGGGGATGAGCAGGGGCTGTCCCACGGCATTCCAGCCGGGAAGGCTCTGCGGGGTGTGCAGCACGTCCGTGCCGGGGCAGCCCGAGGTCCCTCAGCTGTCGCTGTCACTGATCCGTGCCCATGGGCAGCTCTGGGTGCCGCTGGCACCAACCAGGACCCAACCTCGGCCACCAAACCCCACCCAGCGCCGAGCACAGACCCCAGCGCGGCTCCCTCCCCTCCCGGCACGGCGACCCTGCCGGGATCCCCCCCGGATCCCGGATCCCCCCTGTGGATGCTGCAACCCCGCAGCCCAAACCCGGCCCCAGCGCTGCTCCAGGGGGGGATTCCCCAAGCACAGCCCGGGGGTCCACGGGCACCAGCCCACCGCGTGTGCCAGGGCCGGCTCGGGGCTAAGTCCAGCTTAGCAGATAAAAAATAAACGCCGATTTGGTTTTAAGGCTGCTGAGGGAACACGGCAGTGACGAGCCGGGTCGGAGCCACTCGGGGCTGGTGGCAGGAGCAGCTGAGCCCGGGGACAAGGAGAGTGTGGGAACTCCGAGTGTGAGCAGGCAAAGGGACTGGGGGGATGGCAACAGGACCGGGAGGGGTGGAAAAGGGACCGGGAGGGATGGAAAAGGGACCGGGAGGAGCAAAGGGGGTGCAGGGGGTGGTGAAGGGGCTGGGAAGGGACACAGGGTCGGGGTCTCTCTCCCGTGTGCTGGGGGGGCCCCAGACCCGCCCCGTGCCCCCCCCAGCCCACCCGGCCACCTCCCCCCCTCCCCGCAGGGACTAGAGGAGGGGAGTTCCCGGTTGGTGCGTGAGCAGGACCCGGAGCAGCCTGAGCCGAGCTGAGCCAAGCTGAGCCGAGCTGAGCCGAGCCGAGCCGAGCCGAGCCGAGCCGAGCTGAGCCGAGCCGAGCCGAGCTGAGCCGAGCCGAGCCGAGCTGAGCCGAGCCGAGCCGAGCTGAGCTGAGCATGCCAGAGCCGGCGCCGCTCGGAGGGGACAGGAAAGCAGCAGAGAGGAAGCGGGTGGAGAAGGTGGGAGCCAAGGCAGCACCTCCAGGTAGGTGCGTGGGGAAGATTCCCTGGAAATTCCCTTCACCGGGATGGCCACCCTGGCCTCAGGTGGAACAATCCCGTGTTCCCAGCCGGTCTGGCCACGGGAGGAGCTTTGCTCTCCACGGTCCCCTCGCAGCTCAGGGACATGGGGCTTCTCAGCCACCTGGCAAATCTCCCTCCTCCTCCTCCTCCTCCTCCTCTTCCTCCTCCTCTCCTCCTCTCCATCCTGCCCAGATTTTCTGCTGGAGGGGGAACACGGGCAGAGGTTTTCCCAGCGTGATCCCCAGGATATTCTGATGCCACTGTAGCCCAAACCCCTCGGGCTCAGCCCCTGGGACACTCTTCTCCCCACTCCTGCAGTGCAAACACCTGGCAGGAGCAGGGCAGAGAGCTCCCTAACCCTAATCCTGACCCTAATCCTGACCCTAACCTTTCCCTGCCCCTTCCCTTGCCCCTGCCTGTGGCCCTGGCCCTGGCCCTGCCCCTGTCCCTATCCTTGCCCAGGGTGGGCTGTGCAGGAGGATGTCGAGACCCCTTCCCACCCCCATCCCAGATCCCTTTGTCCCTTCCCAGTTCTCCCATTAACTCTGTTTTCCCTGGGGGGTCCCCAGTGCCCAGGAGCCTCCCGGTGCAGAGCAAGGCAGAGCCCCCCAGCCTGGAGCCCTCGGAGGAGCCGCTGCTCTGGGAAGGGCTCACCCTCAACAAGTGCATCCTGGTGGCCTCCGTGGTGGCCCTGCTCAGTGTCACCTTCCAGGTGCTCCAAGGTGAGCTGGGGCTGCAGGGAGGGGGACAGGGCGGCCAGACCCTGCTGCCACCCCCTGCCTCTCTCCCCTCCTCTCTTCCAGCACCATGTTCCAAGGAGGGGATCACCCGAGGCCGGCAGGAGCCTCCACCACCACCTCCTCCCCTTCCCGGTGGGTTCAGAGCTCCGTGTTGTCCCAGTCCCACAGATCCAGACTGAGAGGGGCCACATCCAGGGCGGGGTGGCCCATGCCTGGGACATCCCACCCAAACATCCATGGCCTGTCCCTCTCCCCTCCCAGAGGTGCTGAGCCCCAAGGAGGAGGTCCCAGAGGTGGGGACAGCCCGTCCTGTCCCACCGGAGAGCCCACCGGAGAGCAGCGCGTCGGAGGGTGGAGAGGAGGAGGAGGAGGAGGATGACGATGACAGCGAAGCCGACAGCAACCTGGTATGGGGCCAGGGGCACCTCCTGCAGGGGGAGCATCTTATCCCTGGGGGAGGGATGGAGGAGGGTCCCGGGCCCCGGGGCTGCGTCACCACGTCCTGGTCCCCTCTGTCCCCACGCAGGCAGAACCCTGGATCTTCAAGAAGTGGTTTGGCCGCGCGACTCCAGAGGATGAGGACAAGGATGAGGACAAGGATGAAGTTGAGGATAAGGATGAGTATGAAGACAAGGATGAAGAACCCACAGATGTCCCCGAGGTGCCACTGGCTGCAACAGAGGTGAAGAAGAGTCAGGAGAAGCAGGAGAAGAAGGTGGAGAAGGAGGTGGAGAAGGAGGAAGAGAAGGAAAAGCAGGAGGAGGACGAGGAAGAAAAGGAGGAGAAAGAGGAGAAGGAGGAGGAGGAGGAGGAAGAAAAGGAGGAGGAGGAAGAAAAGGAGGAGGAGGAAGAAAAGGAGGAGGAGGAAGAAAAGGAGGAGGAGGAAGAAAAGGAGGAAGAGGAAGAAAGAGAGGAAGAGGAGGAGGAGGAGAAGAAGAAAAAGGAGAAGAAGGAGGAGAAGAAGGCCCGGGAAGGCCGTGCTGTCCATGCAGAACGCAGCAGCCGGAGAGAGGCACGAGCCAAGGACAGGACACCAGGGAACAAACCTGGCAGAGCCCCCAGGTCCCCCAGGGACCCTGAGCAGCAGCCTCAGAAGAAACGGGACCGGGAGAGGAAGGAGAGGAAGGAGAGGAAGGAGAGGAAGGAGAGCCGGCGGGAGCGGGACGAGCCCAGGAGGGAGGGGGGGAAGGGCCGTCCTGGCAGGGCCAACGGCAGCCGGGAGAGCCCCAAGAGGGACTGGAAGCAGCAGAAGGGCAGGAAACCCTGGGAATCAGCTCTGGGCAAGGACAGCAGGGCCAGGGAGGGCAAGAGGCGCGACTGAGGCCAGGGCGGCCGAGGGGCTCCGTGACACCGGATCCAGGGACACCCAGGGGGATCCAACCCACCACTGCCCCCAGCTCCTGCCTGTTCTCCAGGGGCATCCCTGGGCCATGGGCAGCACCCCAGGATCCCTGAGCAGCAGCAGAGCAGCCCAGGAGCCTGGCACGAGCCTCCCCGGGGACTTTGGGCCCCCCTGGATCAAATGGCCAAAGGTGACCTGAAAGGACCCGGGGAAGGAGCTTCTCTTCAGGCTTCGTGTCCCTGCCCCGTCCCCACCCAAACCCCCTGCAGGTCCTTCCCACCCACGGGGTCATTTCCACCCAGGGCAGCACAGTGGGGTCCCACTGACCCCAGGGAGCAGAGTTGGTCTCCAGACTGTGCAGCTCTTCAGTTACTGGTTTTATTTAAAGCAAATCAAGAGAGAAGAATATCCTGGGTTACAGAACCAGAGGGACATCGGGGACAGACCCCCCCGACCTCACTCGGTGCCATCACTGAGGGTGGCACAGAACTTGCAGGAAACAGAACCAGGTTGGAGCCCCTCACTGGGGATCCCTTCAGGCTTTGCCTTCACCTTTCAGGAAGGAAACACAAGTGCAAACCTCACACAGCACTGGAGCCACTGCAGGAGACATTCACAGCCCCAACCCATGGCAGGTTTCAGTATTTGCTGAGTCAATAGAGGTTAAAATAAACTATTTTCATTTTTAATAAGGTGTTCAACTGGATGTTTAAAAAGAAATGGGGAAAAAACAAGAAAAAAAAACAAGAAAAGCCCTTATCCCTGGCTGTGTGTGTGTGTTTTCTGTGCCCCCCAGAGCTGAGGGGCTCAGGGGTAACCCGGGTCCCTGTGGGGCTGCAGGACAGGGCCAGTGGGTGCCAACTCAGCCCTGTGGGGACACTGCAAAGCCCAAGAACTGCTCCCAGCACCGGGAGGTGCAGCCAGGACAAGCTCAGGAGCTGCTTCCCAAGGGTTTGGCTCCCTGTCTGAGGGCTGGGCTCAGCTGGAAAGATGATCCGGGCGCTGATGCCAGCGGGGACACGGAGCAGGTGCTCTGGCAGCCGTTTGCTCCCGCTCCCATTAATGGTGCGAGAGCCCAGGAGGTGTAACGGGATCACTCCCTCCCTCCCTCCCTCCCTCCCTCTGGGAGTGGGGTCAGGGCAGGGTGACATGAATGTGGCCTGGCCGGGAGCCCCAGGCCATGGCCAGTGGGTCCCCACGGCCCCAGTCACACAGGGACGGTCCCTGCAAGGGGGTTTGGCCTCTTGCTCTGCTGTCACAGGTGGAGTCCTGTGGCCAGGGGGGGCTAATGATGGGCTGGGAAATGGCGAGAGGATGCTGCGAGGCTTGGAGGAAGCAACACCTGCCCTTCCCAGCCACTACAGGAGCAGAAAGGCAGCGATAAATAAGTGCAGTCTTGGCTGGATCTGCCAAGCTTTGCCCTCCCCCCACGGCCCCACAGCCCAAAGCCCCCCACAGGGTCAGAGCCCACGGCAGCTCAGCCCTACAGGCATCCCCAAAATCGGCAGTGGGGACACATCAGGCTGTGGAGAAGCCCCCAGGGACAGGCAGCTCCAGCTGCAGAGGGACTGTGAGGAGCAAAGGAGCTGCAGGGGGTGGCAAAGGGGCTGGGAGGGGATCGGGAAGGGGCTGGGAGGAGATGGTGAGTGGGCTGGGAGGGGATAGCAAACGGGGCTGGGAGCGGTGGAAAAGCGACTGTGAGGAGCAAAGGAGACACCAGAGAAACCTGAGAGACACTAACGAGCCAAACCGTGGGGAAAGGACACAAGGGAGCTCCCGTCTCCACGGGAAGCACCAGCTCCAGCTGCGGGGGGGGGCGGGCCGGGAGGAGCCTCACCGACACCCACACTCCTCTGCCACCATGTTGGGGAACTTGCGGACCTCCAGCCCCTCCGGCGAGAGGCTGATGATGAGCTGGTCGGAGTAGCGCACCGGGACGCAGCAGGGCGGGCGCTGCAGCGGCGCCCCCCGCTCCTGCATCCCCAGCAGCAGCACCGTGTGCGAGTAGTAGCTGGGCACGCGGGTGGACAGGGGCAGCCTGCAGGGCCCCTCGCAGTTGTTGGCCGCGTACACGGTGGGCATGACGATGAACTTGCGGTCGTGCAGGTCGATGGTGAGCTCCTGGAGGCGGCAGTGGGCCGGGGGCCGAGCGCTGCGGTGCTGCCGCTGCACCTTCCTGCGCTCCTGCCAGCGCGCCCGCACCGACTGCAGCGCCTTCAGCAGCAGCAGCGTGTGCAGCTTCCTGGAGCCCGGCACCCGCTCCGGGGCCTCGCCCTCCTCCCCGCCCCGCGGGAAGTAGCAGAAGCTCAGGAGGTGCTGGAAAAGCGCCGTGTTGGCCTGGAAAGCCGGGATGTCCCCCAGCTCCTGGATGACCCCCCGCAGTTTGCCCGTGAGCAGCTCCAGCACGGTGCCCTCGGGCTGCCAGTGCCCCAGGAGCTGCTCCAGCACGGCCCCGCTGTCCTGCGGGAACAGCAGCACCGAGGGCTCCTCCGACTGCACCAGCCGCTCCAGCGCCGCCTCCCCCGACAGGTTGAGCCGCTGGTGAGGGAGGGTCTCCATCGCCTGGAAGTCCAGCCAGTGGTGGGCGCTGGGCTGGGGGGGCAGCTCGCTGGAGGAGCTCAGGACCTGCCGGACGAAGCGGGTCAGCATTCCCAGGAATTGGCTGCTGCTCCCGGGAGCTGGGGATGAAGTGTTGGCCTGGCTCGGGGCCGTGGGGGTCGGCAACTCCTCGGTCCCGGCCTGGGGTGGGCTGCAAAGAGAACACAGGGAGGGTCACGGGGTCCTCGTGTGCCCTGGAGGTCTCCACATCCTCCTGCCGTGATCCCACATCCCCTGTCTCCCAGTCCCTGTGTTTTCCCATTCCTAAGGCCACGGACCTGAGCTGTGGGTACGGAGCCGTGTCCACCACCCCGTCAGCAGAGAGGTAGGAGGAAGGGGCCAAAGCCTCCTCCTCCTCCTCCCCCGGCCGTGCCTTGGCCAGCAGCAGCAGCACCGGGGTCATGCGGGTGAAACACTTGTCATCGGAGCCGAACAGGAGCTGCTGCACCTCCGAGGGGGGCAGGGGGGCACCTGGGGGGGCGAGGAGCGGTGAGGACGATGATCTGGGGTCTGCTACGTGTCCCCACAGCCCCTCGGGGGTGGAGAGGACCCCAAACGCCCGAGTGGGGACACTCGGGCGGATCCCCGTCCGTACCTCCCTCGGCGCCGCGGATCGTCAGCGATGCCGAGAAGCGGAGCTGCTCCGGGCCGCGGGTGACGGAGCCGGCGGCGGCTCCCAGGACCAGGTACTGGGTGTCCCTGGACAGGCAGAGCCTCTGCGCGGGGGCGGGAGACACGGCAGAGCCGGGGACGTGGGTCAGACATCGCGGGCACACACCCACGTGTGGTCCCTGCGGGCTCGGGGTCACCCAGCCCGCGGTGGCCCCGGGAGCAGCGACATGGGACGGGGGCTTCGCCCCCACACCCAGAGCTGCTCCGGGAGCCCACGGGACCCCCGGGTGGGCAGTGAGCCCCGGGGCAGGCGGGGACCGGGACCCCCAGACAGGGCTGGACACCCCGGGCAGCCCCTCCGGCCCTGCGGGAGCTGGGAACGGGGTAAGAGCTCCATCTGCAGGCACGGCCCGGCCGGCGGGAGCGAGAGACGGGGCGGGAATGCCGGGATGGGATGGCAAAGGGATGGGAAGTGTTGGCAAAGGGACTGTGAGATGATGCCAAAGGGACTGGAGGAGGGGCAAAGAGTCTGGGAAAGGATGGTGAATGGACTGGGAGGGGGTGGCAACAGGACTGGGAGGAGATGGCAACAGGACTGGGAGGAGATGGCAACAGGACTGGGAGGGGTAGAAAAGGGGCTGTGAGGAGCAAAGGAGCTGCAGGGGGTGGCAAAGGAACTGGGAGGGGATGGCAAAGGTGCTGGGCAGCAGGGCCGGGACACTCCCGCCCCAATCCCATCCCGGCCCGGCCCCCCGACCCACCTGGTCCCTGGCCAGCCCCGGGCCCGTGACCAGCAGCTCCTGCGGGCGCCCGGAGCCCTCGGGCCGGCCCAGGTAGAAGAGCATCGCGGCCGCCTGCAGCTCCCCCAGCGCCCGGCCCAGCTCCGCCTGGAAAACCAGCTGGAACCGCAGCTTCGCCTGCGCTTCCCACTGCACTGGAACGGGGGAGACACGGGGTGAATCCCCCTCCGGCACCGCGGGGCCCCCGGGGGTTGAGGAAGGGGCTTCAGGGCTGAGCCCCATTCCCACGCAGAGACCAGAGGAGCTGGGACAGGAGGGACAGGGTGGAAAAACACGGCAAATCCCAGTCCCCGGCCCAGGGGAGGTGGCAGGAGGCAGATCCTGCACCCGGACAGAAGGGGCTGCCACCCCCAGATCCCCATGGAAATCTCCTCTCCAGTGCCTCAGGGACATGGTGGCCACTTCCCCACTGCCCGGCACTGGCGAGTTCAGCTGCAAATCCAAACCGCGGGAGGGGAGGAAGGGATTTCAGGAAGAGGGAAACACCCCTGACTCTCTTGCTACGGATAAAACAGCGGGTTGTGCTCCCCCTCCAGCGCCGGGCTCATGCCCGGGATGGGACAGGGGAAGGTGTTCCTGGTTTTTCCTTAAGGCTGAAGCTGCAGGAGCAGCTCCACAGCCCCCGGTGTGGGAGGGGGCTCAGGGCACAGCGGGACCAGCCAGGTCCGACCCGACCCTCTCTTAGAGTTGGGACAGTGTCCAAACCCACATCATCGAGGCAGAGAAACACTCGTACTCGTGAGAGCAGAGCAGAGCCCACCAAGAATGTGACACCCGGGTGTTGGTCACAGGCAGGGGCAGAGGCAGGGACAGTGCCCTGTTGCTCAATGCATCATCTCTGCTAAACCTCCTGAAAAATGTACCCAGAAAGACACAGCGAAGTACCAATTTTACAGCAGTTTTTAAGAAGCTTTAGCACTTACAATGTCTTTCTCTTATTTTAAAGGGAATCCAACCCCTCAGGTTTAA